CAGAGTTGCTCTGCCCCGGGCTTCCTGGAATCAGCCACTGATCAGTTTCAGCAGCAGCTGACTTGGGGACGCTTGGGGTTCTTACATACAGATTCAACTTAAGAACAAACCTACAGTCCCTATCTTGTACGTAACCCGGGGACTGCCTGTACAAGGAACGACCTTCTTCTGACAGATCAATACTAGATCCACACTCTGAAACAGTGCTCTCTATACATGTATTGAACCTGTATTTATATCAGTAACAGTTTTGCACATGTACATTTGTGCAGAGACCTTGGATCCCATATTCATATCTAAATTCCATCTGTACAGTCCAGCCCAGCCAAAAAGACAAATTACCTTGAAGTTTGGTAACTATTCTCTTTAAGTTAAATGAGTTTTATTTCCATAAAAAACAGCACAAGCCTTCTAAGAAAGAAACCAGTTAGAGGAAAGGTGGCTTTTGACTAAGAGTACCATTTTCAAAAGCACCTAAGTGACATGCCAGCCAAAATTGTGTTTTTCTAAAATGAATTTTAAAGGTCTTCATATGCCTAAAGAATTAGATATTAAAACTCAATGTGAATTAAGCATAACTACAATATTTGGTGCCCTAAATACTTTTAAAATCTGGCTTGCAGGCAGTTAGAAGCCAAAGTCTCACTCAGAGTTAATGCAGTTTTGAATTCCATGGGCCCACTAGGCCCAGATTTTGAGATATTTAGTCGCCTAACTCTCACTATCCTTAAAACACTTTTGACTGTGCCTAAATTACTTATGAGGTTTTAAAAGTTCTACACTAGATTATTGAGGTGTTACATCACTGAAAGGCAGATCTTCACTCTACATCAGCAAGTACTCCATGTCCTATCATTTAGAGTCAACCTTCAATTTGGTGTCCTGCTGTGGCTAAAAATGAAAGACTCAACTGGAAAATACAGTTGCTTTGGCATTAACTGCCCTGTGATAGTTATTCAGCGGGTATCTCTGGAAAACAGAGTTTGGCACAAGCAAAGAAAGATGAGGAGCTATGTCAATAGGATACTATAAAAGTCTCCTTTGGAAATATATTTTTTTTTGCTGTGGGT